TTTTTTTTATTCAAAAGAGGAGGCAGTAATTGTTGAACAAAGGAAGTTTTACTTGAACAAGAAATAAGGTTATTTTTTTAAACAAATGAAATATGAGAAGAACTTGAATACACCTAACTATCCATCAACAAAAAGAAATGACTCTGAATTGTTTTGCTTAGATTTGTAAATGTTTTAACCTACTTAATGGAAATTTGTTTCCATCTGAATGAAATCTGATTAAATTGGAATTTGGCTAAATTTATATTAAAAGCAAAGAGTTGATACTAGAGTTTGATACAAAATTATTTCAGTAACTCAGAATATCTTATTAAGCTTGTTTATTTTTTTGTGGAGTTGCTTTTTTGTTGTTGTTGTTGTTTTATTTTTTTATGTTTTTATGTCTGTGTGCAGGACACACTGATAGAAAATAATACCTAAGAGAATTGAAGGAATTGTAATGCAACCCTTGTTTAAAATGAAGGAGTTGAGAAAATTTTGGGGATTATAAATGAGCTATGTTGTTTTGAATAAAGATTTTTAGGTATGTGCCTCGCCCTAAAACTAGGGCTTATTTTTGGGATAGGGATTATATTAGCCCCCCCCAAATCAAGCTAGGGCTTATTTTCAGGGTAGGCCCTACTTTCAGGGAAACCGGGTATTATGTATGTTGTCATCGTCATCATCGTCATCATCCTCATTTTAGCCACTGTCCATCCACTGCAGGATGACGGCCTCTTCTGCCTGTTTCTAACCCCTACAGTCCTGAGCTTTCTTTTGCCAGTTGGGCCCTCAGGACTTGGCTGATGTCCTCGATCCGTCTTGCTTATGGTCTCTTTCGTGGACGCTTTTGATCGAGTGGGATCCGTTCTAGGACTGCCTTGGTCCACCTGCTCTCGGTTCTCCTTGCTATTTCCATTGCAATTCTTTGACTCTCTTGATGGCATCATATAGTTTCTTTTGTTCTCTAATCTATGTGTGGGTGGGTGTGTATGTGTGTATCTATGTATTTATTTGTTTATTTGTTTGTTTACCCACCCCCTCTCAATTGTGTCTCAGAGACTGCCTGGACTGCCAAGGTTTTTTTTTCCCATTTCAAAAGTGGCTTGCCATTGTCTCCTTTAATCACAATGGAGCTGGAAGGGACCTTGGATAAGTCAAGGATTAACTATACTCTAGAACAGGGGTCCTGGCTGAGGAATTCTGGGAGTTGAAGTCCACAAGTCTTAAAGTTGCCAAGATTGAGGACCCCTGCTCTAGAAGCTCTAGTAATGCTACTGCTCCTGTTACTAAAGGTTTCTCTCTGATTTTGGAAAGCAGAGATTCAAAATTCATAATCTCTGCTTTCCAAAAAGCATTTGCAAAATAAGAACAGAACAGAACAGAATAGAATAGAATAACAGAGTTGGAAGGGACCTTGGAGGTCTTCTAGCCCAACACACACACACACACACACACACACACACCCCGCTCAGGCAGGAGACCCTGTACCAATCCGGACAATTGGCTGTCCAATCTCTTCTTAAAAGCCTCCAGTGATGGAGCACCCACAACTTCTGAACGGCTTCCTAGAACTGACTGGCAATCTGAAGGTGACGAGGGCAGGAGTGACAATCAGCGGAGCCTCCTAATCTAGGAATGGGCAGAACTGGTGCACAACATGAAGCTGTGCATGAATGCTGTTGTGTTGTCTCTTGTTGGTTTTAATGAAGACTCTACAGGCCAGCTTGTGAATCACGTCCATAATTGACCGAATAGGGAAATGGACTTCATCTCTTCCTCATTTGGATAATTAATTTTGGAAGCAGAGACTGAGCTCTTTGGTCCCAGAGCTTCCATTTCTAAAACGACACACTAAAACGAGAACATGTGGACAGCTTCCAAGAAAATGGATTGGGCTTCCACTGCTTAAATGTACGATGCAGAATTTGGTAACGCTCCACTCATTTGATCTTCGGCATCGTTTCCGGGCAGTCCAACTCACTGGAAAAATGAGGTCTTGTTGTTATATGTTTATCACTGTGGAAAATTCTGGACTTCTTGGAAAGAGCCCTTAACTCTCTCTAGATCAGTGTTTCTCAACCTTGACAATTTTAAGGCATGTGGACTTCAACTCCCAGAATTCCACAGCCAGCATTGCTGGCTGTGGAATTCTGGGAGTTGAAGTCCACATGCCTTAAAATTGTCAAGGTTGAGAAACACTGATCTAGATAATTACAGAGAAAGAGATTCTGCTATGCATTTGCCTTCCGTCTTCAAATAATATTTTTGATGGAAGGCAGAAGATTCTCTGTTTAATACCTATGATACCTAGTTGGGTAATGAAGCTCAGAGAGCACCAGGGACCCCACAGTCCTCCTCCTTTTCCTCTTATCCCCTCCTCCCCCTCTTCCATTCCACAGAACCGCTCTCTTCTAGCACTGATGATGTTATCTAGTTGGGTAATGAAATGTCTGCAAGGAAACAACCAAGTTCAGAGAGGACCAAGGACTCCACAGTCCTCCTCCTCCTCCTCCTCCTCCTCCTCCTCTCCACAAATTCCACTCCCTTCTAGCACTGGTGATGTGACCTAGTTAACATCCTCAAAGCCTTTCAGATGCACTGATGATGTTCCCTAGTCAGGTAATGAAACGTCTAGCAAGAAAACAAGCAAGAGAGCGCCCAGTTCAACCCTGAGCTACAAAGATTCTTTTCTATCAGACTTGAGATTCTACCAATAAACTCAAGTTTTCCCGTGAAGGCCTGCCGGACAGGCGGAGGAGGAGGAAGAGCTGAGTGCCCCAGTCCTTACCTGCCAGACGGGGTCGGTGTGCTTCCCAGACATGCTGCTGCTTTTGTAGCCCGGCTGCGTGGCAGAGGGTTTCTTCAGGTTGTAGATGGCCACGTTGCCATCGTAGAAACCCACCACAATCAGGTAGGGGTGGTCAATGTGGATGTCAAGGCACATGATCCCGCTCTCGCTGGCGAAGGCGTACTCGGGGAAAGAGGGGTTCTTGAGGGTGTACAGCAGGAGCATCCCCCGGCTCTGCTTCATGAAATCATCTGGAGGAAGAGGAGGAGAAGGAGGAGGGACAAGGAAGAGGATGAGGAAAAGGACAAGGAGGAGGAAGAGGAGGAGGAAGTGGAAGAGGAGGAGGAGGGAAGAGGAGGAGGAAGAGGAAGAGGAGGAGGAAAAGAAGAGTGAGAAGAGGAGGAGGAGGAAGAAGATGAGGAAAAGGACGAGAAAGAAGATGAGGAGGAGGAAGAGGAGGAGGAAACGGAAGAGGAAGAGAGGAGAAGAGGGAGAAGAGGAGAAGGAGGAGGAAGAGGAGAAGAGGAGGAGGAGGAAGAGGAGGAGGAGGAGGAGGAAGAGGAGGAGGAAGAGGAGGAAGAGGACGAGGAAGAGGACGAGGAGAAGAGGAGGAGGAAGAGGAAGAGGAGGAGGAGGGAAGCGGAGGAGGAGGAAGAGGAAGAGAAGAAGAGTGAGAAGAGGAGGAGGAGGAGGAGGAAGAGGACAAGGAAAAGGAAGAGGAAGAAGAAAAGGAGGAAGAGGAAGAGAGTGAGAAGAGGAGAAGGAGGAGGAAGAGGAGGAGGAGGAAGAGGAGGAAGAGGAGGAGGGAAGAGGAGGAGGAAAAGAGTGAGAAGAGGAGGAGGAGGAGGAAGAGGATAAGGAAGAGGACGAGGAGGAAGAGGAAGAGGAAGAGGAAGAGGAGGAGAAGAGTGAGAAGATGAGGAGGAGAAGGAGGACGAAGAGGAGAAGGAAGAGGAAGAGGAGGAGAGAAGAGGAGGAGGAGGAAGAGGAAGAGGAGGAGAAGAGTGAGAAGAGGAGAAGGAGGAGGAAGAGGAGGAGGAGGAGGAGGGAGTCACTTCAATCAGGGCACCCATGGTTGGGATTCGTTTCTGCTAGCGACACCCACCTCGCATCTTGCAGCAGCAAACCCACAGTTTATGTAATTTATTTATATCCCCTCTTTATAACCTAAGGCAACAAAAGGACTGAATATTCCTTCTTCCTCCTCTTTTTCCCCACAACAACCCGGTGGGGTGGGGTGGGGTGGGCTGAAAGAGAGCGACTGGCTGAAGGTCACCTAGATGGTTTTCAATCCTAAAACAGGGCTAACACTCTCAGTCTCCTGGTGATTGGCCCAAAGTCACCCAGCTGGCTTTCATGCCTAAGGCGGGACTAGAACTCAACGTCTCCTGGGGGTTGACCCCGTCATCGAGCCAGCGTTCATGGCTAAGGCGGGACTAGAACTCACCGTCTCCTGGTGACTGGCCCAAAGTCACCCAGCCGGTTTTCATGCCTGAGGCAGGACTAGAACTCACGGTTTCCTGGTGGTTGACTCAAAGTCATCCACCTGGCTTTCATGCCTAAGGCAGGATTTCAACTCACCATTTCCCAGTTGCTAGCCTGGTACCTTAATCACTACTAGATCAAACTGGCTCTCCATCCCTATGGCTGATTTGACCAGCTGCTCCAAGCAGAATGCTTAGACCAGTGGTTCTCAACCTTTTTAATGCCGCGACCCCAACCGGTCGTAAGTCAAGGACTAAACCGGTCGTAAGTCGAGGACTAAACCGGTCAGAAGTCGAGGACTAAACCGGTCGGAAGTCGAGGACTACCCAACCGGTCGGAAGTCGAGGACTTTCCCTGCCCGGGAGCGCCGCGCATGTGTGGTTCCGCCCCCTGCGCCGGCCGAGGCGTAGCTGGCAAGCGGCAGAGACGGAGCAGGCCGACCACCAGCTGGCCCAGCCCAAGGGAGGGATGGCACCCGCCGGAAAAGGGGGAAAAATGGCGGACAAAAAAAATGGCGGACAAAAAAATGGCGGGCAGCCTTGCTTGGCGACCCGCATGAAATGGCCGATCGACCCCAAATGGGGTCCCGACCCACAGGTTGAGAACTACTGGCTTAGAAAGTGGGGTTAAGAAACACTGACGTAAGTTTTGCTTTCAAGCAACTTTCAAAAATATCTATATCACAAAGGAGCCCACAAGGGTGGGCCAGGTTAGTGCCTCCTGCCCTTCACGGCCCAAATTAGCTTTTAATTTGACAGTAAGTCTCTCTCTATCCCCCTCTCGGTCCCTCTTTCTCTCCCCCTCCCTCCCTCTCCCTCCCTCCCTTTCTCCCTCCCCCCCCCCTCTCTCACACACACATACACACACACTGACGTGCCATCTTTGGTTGCATAAATTTTACTGGCAGGACTTAACCGTAGAAAGCAGAGGTTCCTAATTCAACCCGGCAGGCAGGCAGGCAGACATAAAGCAGGTGTGTGTTTTGCTTGACAACCCAGATGGCTGGGGCTGCAACTGCAGAGCTGGTGACACAAACCAACAAGTAACTCTGCCCCTGGCAAAAGCTCAGAGAGCGCCAACGTCTTCCTCCTCCTCCTCCTCTCCACAAACCCCACTCTCTTCTAGCACTGATGATGTGACCTAGTTGGGTTACGAAATGTCTGCAAGGAAACAACCCAGCTCAGAGAGCACCATGGACCCCACAATCCTCTTCCTCCTCCTTTTCCTCCTCCTCTCTGCATATCCCCCTCCCTCCTAGCACTGATGATGTTACCTAGTTGGGTTATGAAATGTCTGCAAGAAAACCACCAAGCTCAGAGAACACTGAGGACCCCTCGGTCCTCCTCCTCCTCCTCCTCCTCCTCCTTCTCTTCTTCTTCCTCCTCCTCCTCCTCCTCCTCTCCGCAAATCCCCTCCCTCCTAGCACTGATGATGTTCCTTAGTTTGCTCATGAAACATCTGCAGCGAGCAACCAGACAGCGGGACGGAGTGGACGGGCTCTTAACTAGGCTTATTTGGGCGCACGCTACAAAATCATGCTAGGACTTATTTTCTGGGTGGGTCTTATTTTCGGGGAAACATGATACAATAAAACAGCCAAGTTCAGAGTCCTCCTCCTCCTCCTCCTCTCCGCAAACCCCTTCCCTCCTAGAACTGATGATATTCCTTAGTTGGTTCATGAAACATCTGCAAGAAAACCACCCAGCTCAGAGAGCACCCAGGACCCCAGAGAATCTTGAAAGCTTAATCTTTTTCCCCTTGCCTCTCACTTACGCCCAAGAAAGTCAAGGTGAGGCACTCTTGATTGCCTTTCTCACCTGGCTACAGACCCCTCTCCGATACAGGCCCATCCCATGGCATTAGAAACCAGTGCAGAATTTGATCCTCAGGCCACAAGAGGGCCACCCCATTGGCCCCTAAGTGTCCAATCGGGTGCCTCAACGGTGCCGATGTCAACGCTGCTAAGATCGGATGTTCTCGCTTTGACAACAGATGGAGATGCAGCCATTTTCCTTCTTATGTTTTACTCTTAGAATTAGAGTTGGAATTAGATGATACTGGAGGGGGGGGAGGAGGAGGAATGTGCATGGGAGTTTAGTTAGACATAACAATATTGTAACTAGTGTGAGAACCAAGGTTTTTTGAAATGATAAGAAATGGCGGGTTGGAGAACTGGAGGGAAAGCCTGCATTTCAAACTAATTGGAGAATGTGATTTATGACAGTTAATTAGAGGAGGGAATTGTGCTTTGATACTACGTGCTCTGGGGAGGGGGATTCAGATTTTGGCTTTGCCTATGTATGTGCTGATGCTATGCTACTCAAATAAAGATTCTTTAAGGTAAACAATGCCTCGAAGTTCTTGGAAGAGTTTCATCTGTCGGAACCATGACAGCTGAGATGCAAGGTCACCATTCTTCTAACTGCCCTTCTCAAGCAGGAGAGGCTGATTCAGCAACAGCTTCTGAGACACAAGGCTACAATTAGAAGCTAGAGACAGCCTCTTCCATGACTCAGTTTTCATAGGGCTGAGCTATGTGGCGTTGTGGGATACCAAATTCCATTTTAACCCAGCCTGGACTTTGCTTAGCCCAGATAAGGAGTATTGCTCAATAGTAGCAGTTGTGAGAGGGACCTCGGAGTCCTAGTGGACAATCACCTAAATATGAGCCAGCTGTGTGTGCTGCAGCTGCCAAAAAGGCAACACAGTGCTAGGCTGCATTAGCAGAGGGAGAGAATCAAGATCACGTGAAGTATTAATACCACTTTACAATGCATTGGTAAGGCCACACTTGGAATATCGCATCCAGTTTTGGTCACTGCGATGTAAAAAAGATGTTGAGACTCTAGAAAGAGTACAGAGAAGAGCAACAAAGATGATCAAGGGACTGGAGGCTAAAACATAGAAGGAATGGTTGCTGGAATTGAGTATGTCAAGTTGAATGAAAAGAAGGACCACGGATGACATGATAGCAGTGTTCCAGTATCTCAGGGGCTGCCCCAAAGAAGAGGGAGTCAAGCTATTCTCCAAGGCGCCTGAAGGCAGGACAAGAAGCAACCGATGGAAACTGATCAAGGAGAGAAACAACCTAGAACTAAGGAGAAACTTCCTGACAGTCAGAACAATTAACCAGTGGAACAACCTGCCTCCAGAAGCAGTGAATGCTCCAACACTGGAAGTCTTTAAGAAGAGACTGGACAGCCATTTGTCTGAAATGGTATAGGGTTTCTTGCCTGAGCAGGGGGTTGGACTAGATGACCTCCAAGGTCCCTTTTAACTTTATCATCATCATCATCATCATCATTATTATTATTATTATTATTATTATTATTATTATTATTATTATTATTATTATTATTATTATTATTATTATTATTATTATCCAGGTGCTTAAGCTGCTGAAGCTATCAGACAGAGCTGAACAGCAAGCACACCTATGTGCGTTCATGTATTCTGGGCCTCCATTCTATGCCAAACAGCTTAATTCGGCCTGATCTTGATTGCTATGTTTGCCCAACACAACACAACACAACATAACACAACACACAAACGACAGCCTAATCAAGGGACCTGAGAGCACTGACAGGCTGAAAGCACTGAATAGAGAAGAGAGGGTCGTATTTGCTCTCCATAGCACCTGAGGGCAAGACAAGAAGCAATGGGTGGAAGCTCCCCAGAGGGAGACCCCCACCTGGAAAGAAGAAGGAATTTTCTGACAGCGAGAATGATAAATCGATGGAACGGCTTCCCTGTGGGTGCTCCATCA